TTATGCGTCGTATCCTCTATGACCCCGTTGCATATGCTCTAATTGCCGTGGCTAAAGCGCGACCAAAGTACCCTGGCCTCTCCTTGGAGGAGTCTGCCTTGAAATTTATGGCGCTTCACATGAAGTGTTTTAATGAAAAGAACACTGCCATACAAGCGGAACAATACAAGGCAAACTTTGAGAAATTTTTGAAACGCGCGACGCTTTACAGATCAATGACGGAGGCCTCCGAGGATGTGGTGAAAGAAGAAGAGTTCTTGAAACTGTGCAGGGAATGGGAAATGGCTTCCGACAAAACGCATGGGGATGTGTCTAGCCTGGTACATCTGCGGTCAGTAGATTGATTTAGGTATCGAGTCCATGAATGACGTCATTTTTTTCTTTTTTGTTTGCTTCTCATTTTTTTTACCATGTATATATAATGCCAGTGGCCATGTGGACGTTATTTCTATTTTACTTTACATATTCTTGTATTTTTTTTTTTTTTTTGTTTTATTGTTTTTAAAAAATGTTTTGCGTGCAGCTTCACTATCCTTATTTTTTTTTTTTTTTTTGCTTTTGATCCCGTTTGCTCACTTTGTGCGGATCATCAAGTAATTAGGCCGGGGGATATTCTCCGGGATGAAGTTTAGGCTGCGGTTGCCAAACAGTTCGCAGCCGGTGACGTTTGATGTGGAGGAGACCACGCCGTGGATTGCGTTTCTGCACGGTGTGGAGAGCCGGTCAGGCATCGTGAAGGAGCGCCTGCGGATTCTCTCTGGATATCCACCTCGAGTTGTAGATGCGGCAGATGCGGACTTGGTGGGGAGTCTGTTTAGGCAGGGAGACACACTCATTGTACAGGAAGGGGAGGCAACAGTGGTAAGGGGTTTGACAAGGGGACGTTACGTCCCTCCCGCCCATGATAAATGGCATTTTATTCGTCGTATTTGTCCTTCCGATAATTCTTGTCTGTTCCATGCTGCCGCGTATGTGTTGCGAGAGAAGAGTCGAACGGACGGACCCAAATTGCGCGAGGAATGTGCCGCTGTCGTCTTGGCGAACCCCGACTACTTTAATGAGTTGTTACTTGAGCGGCCGAATAGTGAGTATGTGCAGTGGATCAGGCAACCCACTTCATGGGGTGGGGCTATTGAATTAATTATCTTGAGTTTTTTGGCGCAAACGGAGATTATAGCGTTGGATTTAGAATCGGCTCGAATGGAGCGTTTTGGACAAGACATGGAATATACTGTTCGGGCATTTGTTGTTTACACGGGACGGCACTACGATGCTATCGCCATGAATCCAATGTACAATTCACCCAGAGAGAACGAGGACCAGGTGCTTTTCAATGTGCGTGATGAAGGTGTCATCGCTCGGGCTGAGCGCTTTGTGTTGGAAGAGGCAGAGAGAATGAAGCACTGATAATGAATATCGATATGAAGGGAATTTCGCGAATCAATCCTTTCTTTCTTTCTTTTGTCTGCTGTTTTTATTTCCCGCAAGGCATTATACGCACATATATATATTATGTATGTTGTGTTTTTACTTTCATGTTATATCTTTGACAAGGTGAGTTTTCTTTTTTTTTTTTTTTCTTGTTGGTGCTTTTGCCAATTTGCATTTAGTGCTTTAATCCGCAAAAAAAGTGTTTTTTTTCATTTCCCGTTATTTTTTTTGTTTGGTTCGTAAAAAGAAAAATAAGACCGGGAAAAAGTGTTTGCATGTTTTTTCTTTTTTTTCTTCCCTCTGCCTGCCTGTTTTTTGCGTGTGCGCTTGTGTCTGTTTCCCCAATGCATATTGTTGACTTTTCTTTTTTTTTTTTTTTTGTATGTGTGTGTGTATCTGGGGCAGTGTGAGGGATCTTTGCTTCTTGTGCCTTTTGAGCGGCCCTGTGAGGGAAGGAGGCCCCAGCAGCAGGAACAAAGAGGGCTGGAATTAACGCAGGAAGAGAGACTGGAGGGAGCGTGGGGGGAGGGTAAGACAGGAACAGTCATCCCTCCCAGGGGAGCAAGGAGCGGAAAGGAAGGAGTGCGGACACTGTGACTATTTTTATGAATGAGGGGTCACCAAAGAAGAGCAAGAGCGGCTTTATATCGCCCCTCAATCGCACAGCAACAAGTGTGCATCGGGAGATGCCGCTGAGCGAGGGACGTGAAACGGAGTTGGCCCTCATCGCCGCGACCCTCGCGAATAAGCAGCTTCAAGTTTCCAAGTTGACCTCCGCTTATTATGTAAAGACCAACCACAAGTTGGTGCAGGAAAATGAAAAGTTGGAGCATGAGCTAGAGGAGAAGGAGAGGGAAAGCTTCGCAGTTATGGAGGCCTTAGAAGATCGTATGAATGCGGTGAAGTGCGATAATGCAGAAATGAAGGAGAAGCTGACTGCTGCACGGGATTCCGCTTGGCGTGATGTGATGGAGGAGATGGCATCGATGCAAGAGAGGTTGGAGGAAAGTGAGTATCACACTTCGAGTTTGCAGAAAAGAATAGAGTGGCTGGAGGAGGAGCTTGCGAGTGTGGATGCCTTTAGGCAAGCCCGTGACAAACATCAACGCGAGATGGAAAACCTAAAGAAGGAATACACGGAGGAGCAAGACAAACACGCGCGGGATTCTCACTTACTCCGCATGCAGCTAATGGAAGAGCGGGTTCGAATTCGGGCGGAGGAGCAGCTACTTAATAGGCGACACGAGGAAGACGTCCGCAAAATGGCTATGGAGCTCCTCACCCAAAAGACACGCGACGTGGATGAGGAGAATCAGCAACTCCTGGAAGAAAAAATTTTTTTGTCAGAAGACGCAAAGGCGGCACGTAATGAAGCAGATGCTTTAAGGCAGGAAAATTATAAGCTGCGTCAGAATGCTGCACTGGCGAAGTCAGCAGAAGAGGAGTTTACCGCGCACGCGGTGCGCCAAAAGCGAGAAATAACATTGCTCAGAGAACAGGTAAAAACGACGGAGGATAACCTCAAAGCGGTAGTAGAGAGCTACGAAAAACGCATACAAAAACAGGCTAGGGAACATGCCGCTGCCTTACGACGACTGACGCAGGAGCGGGACGAGGCAAATTGCTTCGCTGAAAGTCTTCGTCGCGAGCTTGTGAAAATGCGATCCCTGTCGCGGCAGATGGTGGAGCGACGCACCGAGTTGGAGATGTTTTTCCACGATGCCTTGGCACAAGTTCGCCGGGAGATGTTGGAGGAGCGACGGAGAGGCACACGTTATATTGGCCACCAACACTCCAATTCATCCTCTTTCCAGCGAACTACACCGCGACTGAAGGAGGGCGAGGGTGAATTGATGTTGATTAGCAACCGTCGTTTGCGACTGCCATTGCCGCCGCCTTTGCAAATTGGCGGTAGTGGGAGCAACACCACGTGGCATAGCAAGGAGTCACCGGCTGGTGATGGGAATATGGGCGGACCTTCTCTTCCACTGATTACGTTACCAAAGGAGGAACTCGCTGTCACACGGAGTAGCCGCCTCATTCCTGCAAAGGAATGGCACTACAACGAGGGCGGTGCTTTGACAACCCGCTTTCTTCCTTCTTCAGAGGAGCCATTGTTTGCACATTCAGACCTCTCTTGTATCCCCAACGCCCCCAAGCTAAAGGATCTCCAGTCCATTGAAATCTCACAGTTGTGTTGGAAAGACAAGGAGCGGGTCCTGCAGATCCTCTTCAAACAACTACAGGGGAAATCCAATTTCTCAAAGGCGGAACAATGTAAATCAACGGGCGATACGGGTGATTTGGTTGGCAGTGTGGTTGTGAATTCGGAGACGCATACGTTTCTTACGGAGTAGTTGCGGTGTGGGGAACACAAAATTTGTAATGGGTGTTTGTTTGTTTGTTGTTGTTGTTGCATTTTCAAGAGGGATTCTGCTCGGCAATTTTCTCTCCATATAAGTGTGTGTCTTTCTATGTGTGAGTGTGGGGGGGAGAGAGAGGGAGAGAGAGAGAGAGGAAGTACTTATTTTCACCAATTAAATCCCTCTTATGTGGTTTTGTCTCCCCATGTACAAGCTCCAATCCGTTTGTTTTTTTTGAGTGCGCACCCTTTTTTCTTTTTTCCTTTTTTTTTTCTTTTTTTTTTTTTGGTGTCCCTACAACTTTTCTTCCATGTTGGTGCCTTTTTTTTTTGTTGTATTTGCTGCACTCGGTTCTTTGCGGACATGTCTCAGGCGGGTTATATTGTTGCGCGGCGAATTTGTATGATTATAATTTGCTTTTACTTTCTTGGAGAAATAAGTACTTTTATACGTGTATGCAATTGTTATTTGTTTTTCCGCGGTGGGGCATAAATTCTCAGCTTTTTTTTTTTCTCTCTTTTTGCGTGTGTGTGTTTTTCCCTCTTTATCTCGTTACTTCTGCGTCTGTAACATGTATCTTTTTTGTTTGTTTGTTTGTTTTCTTTTCTTTTTTTGCTCTCATTGTGTAACTTGTTATGGGCAACGAAGGCGGTGGGTATATGATCCCCGTGGCCGGTCGACGAAAGGGCCGCGCACCGCCACCGCCCGCAATGGCCTCTGGTGATGAACCCGACTGGCTCTTTGCGGAGAATGTTGCCCCGGCAACTGGCAGCTCCGCACAAAATCCTGCACCCCCATCCGTCCCCTTCGCTCATGACGCGCTCTCGTTTCTTGATTTTGAGAATGAGGCGTCTGCCCCCACGGCATTGTCGCACGGTGCCGCGACACCCGCGTCAGGAACAGCGGCACCAACACCGGCCCAAGTGGCTCCCTCATCGCCTTCTCTTTGGAACCAATACGAGTTCTTGCGGAGGGAGTTGCAGGGGACCCAAGAAGAACTGATTCCGTATGAGGATCGTATCAAACTATTGGAGAGGGGGGAGGACGCTCTGTGCCAAGAGGTGAGACGCCTGGAAAACGACGTATGCGGAAAGAGGGAAGAGGTGGAACGCGCAGCTTTGCTTCGGACGGAGCTGGAAGAGTACTTGGAGCTGCGAAGGCAGCGGCTGCGGGAGGAGACGGGTGGTTACCGTAGCCAGGACCTCATAAATACTTCTAATGCTCTTAAAATGAAGTACGAGACTGACGTAGCACGTTTAACGACGCTTACGAAAGAAAAGGAGGCATCATTGCGTGCCGTAAAGGAGAGACATGACGCCGTGGAAGGGGACTTCCGCGCAACAGAAGTGCATGAGCGATTTCTTGTCCAGCTGCAAGAGACACTGAAAAAGGCTATACATGAGATGGGAAAAAGTGTGTGTGTGCGCGTTAAACCATTTCTTATTGGAAGCATACGAGAGATATTCGTGCAGTCTGCTCAACAGCGTCTAGACATCCTCTCCAATGATCGAAAACGAAGATGTGACGAGTGGGAAGCCTTCCAACATAAAATGAAGGAAAATTTTTGTAGCTTTCAGGAGGAGCGGCGTTTGAAGCATCAAACCAGCTTTGATTCCGCATTGGCTCATGCTGTGACAAAATTTCGAGCAGCTCTTGATAATCGTCTTACTACGTCAGCACAGAGCTTTGCGGAGAGACAACGGATCATCACGGCTGAGACATGCAAATGCACGCAGCGCGCCATTGAAGAAATGGTTCAAAGATTTAGAGAGGAGTTGAAGGCTGTGGAACAGAAACAATGTGAAGAGCTAAAGCGCGCAGTGAATCAATACGCCGCCGAGCTCGCTCATCGTTCCCGACTGTACGCTGCAGAGAGAGAGGCAGCAGTTGGTCGGCGAAGCCGGTATGCGGAGGAAGAGCAGGCAAATTTATCTGTACCCCCCGCGTACAAAGCTGTTGAAGAGAAATTGAAGATTTTGGGGGCGCGGGTGGAACAGTTTCGACAGTCGGTGTCATGTGATGTACAAGAAGTCACTAGTATGGCCTTCTACCCTGGAGGCAATACATTTTCTTCCAATGAGAAGACCTTGATGTTGGAAGAATGCGAGCGAAATACACGTGAGCTCAGCGAGCGACTCGACGCTCAGTGGCAGCGATACAGGGCAGCCGTAGCTCCTCTGGAACAATGTGTCAACTCCATGGCTGATGTGCTGCGGGAGGGTCGTGTGAAAGTGGCTACCATGCATCAAGGAACAGAGTCTGTGTACCGAGCATGGAGTCAAGACGTGAGGCGTGAGCTTTTTTCGTGTCTTACTTCGAGCGGAGTGTCCTCGGATTGTGAGAAGGTACGGAGCGGAGTTGAGTGCATGACACAAGTGATGGAGAACTTGTTGGCGCAGTTATACCCGTTGACGGCGGCTCACGCTGAAGGACGTGCACAACAGAGACGCTTTTGGATGAGCATGGAGCAGGAGATTGGGGCGCTAGATAAACAACGGGGTAATTTCAACAATGCACTCAATGCCGTATTTGATGCATACGATCGCTTGTCCCGTGTGGAGGCGGAACTACAGGCAAGGCGTACCACGTTAGATGTTGCGAAAGACGATCTTGTGGCTGCCAAGCAGCAATTTGACAAAGAGAGGGCTGAATTTAGAGCACGGCTAAAGGAGACGCAGCAGGTTGGGGCGGAACTGCGTCACCAGGCGGCGAAATGGGGAAAAAAGAGTGTCCCCGGTGTCTGCATGGAGTACTCACCTCAAGTTTTGCGTGACATGACATTAGAGAGTGCATGTCGGGAGAACGCGCCCCGAACGCCGTCGAAGGGGTTACTTCATTCACAACGCCAGCGAAGACCGAGGCAGCACCCTAAATATCGGGACGAGAATTTGACACAATCCCCGTGCCCTCCCGCAGGGGAGGGTGAAGCGGCTCACTTCAGAAAAAGTGAGAATTTGATGGGTGTTGTCAGTCTTTTGACTGTAAATAATCCAAATTTGCAGACTGAGCCGTACCGTGGGCCGGACTCGCGTGAGGGGAGAAGGCAGTCACTTGGCTCAAGCTATGCGCCGTCATCTGATGCCATGCACGCTGGTGGGGGCAGCAGCACCAAGTCTCTTACCACGCCTTCTACATCCAACTCTTGAGGCCGGTTCCGGGTGAAGCTTCACCCGGAAGAAAATAAATTCACTTCTCCATTTCACTCCCAGTTTTTGCATTTGTCTTTTTTCCATGTTCGGTTGCGATTGTGTTTTCAGCCGTGCCGTTTTTTTATCTTTATTATTGTTATTATTATCGTTATTTGCGTCAAAATTGTTTGAATTTTTATCCGTTTCCTTTTGTTGTTGTTGTTGTTGTTCTCTCGGTGTTGATCATATTGACCTAAAACTGCGGCGACGACGACGACTACGCCCTGCGCCGCGACAACACGCAAAAGAACGAGAAAAAAAAAACAACTGACGGCATCAAATTATTATTATTATTTTTATTATTAGAGTTTAAAAGAAGGAAAGAAGGAGAAGGATAAAGAGGGAGAGGGGGAATAGGATTCTTTCCTGTGACACAGCTCTCTTCACCATTGTGTTACGCCACTCATACACCAATGATTTCGTTAAACTTCACACTCTACCGTTTAGTGTGCGATGTGACGACGTACACTGGGCTATTTGCCCCGGATTCCGAGGGTCGCCGGATTCAGGACACATCTGCCTTTGTCTGTTGCTGGTGTCGAGTTCCCCGACAGCGCTCGGCGACATCTATTGAGCCGAGTGGCTGCACCCCAGAGGCTTTTTTCAAGTCTCAGGGGTTGGACATGGTTCTCAGCTTCCACAGTGCGACAGGGAGTATTGAGATCGACAGCGACACGGAGGTCATCGCCTTCAAGATGAAGCCTGTCAGCTACGTTGGCGGTCCTGCTCCAGTGGTGGCAAAGGGAACATTGGACCCACTGCCCTATATTGGAAAACCGGCGAAAAATTACGCCATCAAGCTGCGCGAGGCTGCCGGGCAGGTAATCGGCAAGCTTCTTTTTGCACTGGAGGCAAGAGAACCAGAGCCTGAAAACAAAGGAGTCCCAGCGAAAGAACTCCGCCTACGTGGCATAAAACGTGCGGCGTCTGTTAACAAATCTAAATCACCTCCTGATAGCAAACAGAGTGCCGACACCCAGAACCACCTACTCCCGCAAAACCGTCATTATGATACTGGCAATTCCAAAGCGTTTCAAAGTCAAATACAAGCCCATAAACAAGATGTTATTTCCCTTTCTCCGCCGAGTTCTGCAGGGACTCGACGTAACTCCTCGGTACTTTTACACGATCGCCATGACAATAGAAGAAACACGGCAACTCTGGCGGATGTACCTATAATAAGTCAATCATGTACTCCAGAATCTCGGTATATGGAGATTGTTATTGAGAAGATTGCCGTGAAGAATGAGGCAATTAACTTAGATAATCCAGCACCATTGCTTTTGGGAGGGATTTATTACCTAAAGGCGCGATACGGCGGGATTACCTCGAGTACACCATCTGTTCAATGTCAAAGTCCGAGGGAAATTAAATATTCGCACCGTGTAAAATTTCTTGAGGCACCTGGTAAATCCGAGAAACTTCGTTTCTCCCTGTGGGAAGATGACCGTCAGGTGGCGGGATTTTCACTGGACCCTGTCAAGTTCTCTGTGCCTCCCGGCGTTTGGAAGGAGTACTCCATTCCGTTTCGCTACTATCCGACGCAACAGGCAATCTCCCTGGAGGTAGCTGTGCGCCGTGTCAAGGCTGCCGAAGAGAAGTTAGTCAACAAGAAGGAAGAGAATGAGGAGAAAATTGATGTGTCTATCGTGAAAAATGCAACGCCGTCTTCAGAAGCCAAGGAGCCACCAACTCAGCCACCATCTGAGGCGACGAAGGTCACGGAGCAGAAGTCTGAGTCTTTTCACACGGTTCTGTGTACTCAGGATGGGATTCCTGCCTCATCGAGTGGCTTTCCCCCTGCGGAACCAATGAGTTACCAGCGCATAAACTCAGCAAGGGGCTACGTACAGAAGGGATATTTGGATTCCAATGTACGACAAAGTCACTGGAGGAATGCTGTGCCACAGGACGACAAGGATAACTCAAGAGAAGGACCCACACCATTAGGACCTCAACCAATACAGCGTGGTAGAAGCCTGGGGGATGCTGACGCATATACACCCTATTCCATCTCGGAGAATGATCAGCGAGGTCTTCGTGTCCGTGCTGGAGAAGCCGTCACTAAGGGACGGACTGAACGGGACGGAGAAACGAATAGCGACAATCGAATGCAGTCATTTTTGGATCAAATTGCTTCTTCTGACCTGCGTTCTTTTTCTGCCACACGGCAAGCGGCGCAAGGAATGGAATTGCCGAGAGCGTCTTTGAGCCACCGCAGCATCGCATCCAATAGAATGGAAAATGACGGGGATTTGAGGCGAGAAGAACGTGACGCCACACCTTTGCGCAATCGTTTTTTCTATACCGCAAGCCCCAACCGAAAGGGGGAGAGGCGTCTCTCCGCGTGTGGCACAAGTGGCAGCTCTACAAGGGAGCGTTTTTTGCAGATGCGGTCCAAATCCTTGAACGCCAATTCTGACGGTCCAAGGAGTGATGTGGCGTCTCTTAGCGACATTACAAATGGCTTTGAACGAAAGGCACATTCACTGAACATCCGAGGTGGTACTTTTACAACGCCGCGCCCTTCGCTAATGAAAGAATGGCTGGAGTGGCGTGAGCAGAGGGCCTCTGCTCAAGTGTCGCGGGCAGGGTCTGTGCATAGTGCCTTTAGCCGAAATGACTCAGTTGATTCCATTGCATCTCGTAATCGAGCAGTAAGCCCACTTCCAACGAAGTCTTTTGCTCATTTGTCCGAGCAACGACCGTACCAGCCGCAATATGTCCGGCGGTCGTTGAGCAGGAGCTCCGCCACAAATGGGCGACCACCGCTGCCAATCCGCTGATCGGCAGAGGGGGGAAAAATGAAAATGGAGGATATATATTTATGTATATACACGGAAGGTGTATAGAAATGTAGAAAAGATAGTACGGACAAAAAAAAAACAATCTAGAAGAAGACGACTTTCTTTTACTCCCCTTGCCCTAAAAGAGAGGAGGGAAAAACGAAATGGGCTGTGAATAAGTCAATTATACATTTATAGAGAGAAATGAAAGTCGAACGGTCACTTTTAAAGGCCAATTTATTTTATTTTATTATTTCTTCGACGTAAACGCCATGTGTATATGGTGGCCCCTATATTTATAGAGTTCTTTATATGTGTCGTTTCATGTTTTGTTGTTGTCTCTCTCTTCCTTTTCCTATTTTTGTGTGGGAAAACTCAAATTGCTGCATTCCCCGCGAATTCGCGTGACTTCTCACATGATTCTGTGATACGTTCCGAGGTGGTTTTCTCTTTCTTTATTTTTCTATTTCTCCCCTTCTTGTCTGAGTTGTTGTTGGCGCCAATAGATAATTTGGCGGAAAGCAACGAAAGGAAGTAAAATTCAAGTAGAGCGATATATAAGTGGAGAGAGGTGGACAGTAACAAGGAAAGGGAAACGGGAAACGGGAAATAAGAATTCTTCTTGTTTGTAGACTCTCCACAGATCATTGGAATATTCCTTTTGCCGTTTGTTTGTGTTTGTGCCCAGTAGAAATTGGAGAACGGCGCACAATGTGCTGCGACAGTGAGGCAAAGAATCCAGATAATTGGAGGCTCTATCACTTATTGGGGCTAGAACAACCTGTGACGGCAAAACAGGTGCAGTGGACATTTCGGAAAGTCACGCTGCGTCATCATTTTTACCAAGCCTATCTTGTTCTCTCTGACACGGACCGCAAAAGTCTTTACGATGCACTTGGCGAGGATGCAGTGGGTTTTATCCACAGCGGGAGTTGGGGTCCTCTGTTACACTTGCTTGGTTCTAGGGCAGCCATTGGTTTTTATTTCGGTTCCACAGTAGTGGCTTTTTTAGCGCTGCTTCTTTTTTTCATTTTTCTGGGTGTTCGTGTGGATGATCACGTAGCTTGGTCATGGACGGCGGTTGCTGCCCCACTTTTTGTTCTGGTCATCGTGGCACTACTTATTACGGCCTTCGCCGCCATTGTAAGTTTGTTCTGGAGACCCACGTGGGAAGAAGGCATGCACTATGTCGATCGAATTCCAGCAGTCGGTAATTTTATTGCAGTAGTATGTTACACCATTTTTTGTTTTTTGGTTGTGAGTGCCGTTGGGAATGACCATGTGGACTCGTCTGGGAAATTTGCAGCATATTTTTCCCTGCCTATTATAGCTGACGTGGTGTACTATTTGTCTTCTTTGGTATGGCGCTGGCCGCGTCGTATACGGTTGCAGATGGAAATTGGTCTAAATAATCCTAGTTGTTTCTTGTGCTACGGATTTTTTTTTCTGGGACTTATTTATCCATGTATTTCGATTGCGCAGTGGCTTTTGATTGGCCGCCGAATCGACCGAAATATTGAGAGTAGCTGGTATGTTGTCTTTATTCCGTTTTGTTTCCGCGCTGCCTTCCGTGTGCTGGAGGCTTATATGCGCAGCAAGATGAAGTGGACCATTGGTGTCAAAACAGTTATGGGAATTACGTTTGACACGTTGGGTGCATTTTTCTTTAATGGAATGCTGCTTGTCTCACTCTATTTTGTTGCCGTACGCATCACGCGAGGGAAGGAGGAAGTGCAGATGCCTCTGGCACTGATTCCCGTTTACGCTGCTCTGTTGTACCTTTTGTGCGCCATGTTTTTCACTGTCGTTTATCTTTGGGGAAAAAATGCCGACAATGAGCGTGAGGAGCGGCTAAACAACTTGAAGTGGATCCCGACGGAGCTGTCGAAGGATCGTCAGGGCGGCCCGATGCTTGTACGCGACTTTGACAGGGGCGCAGACGACGCAAGCTGGAACGATATTGAAGACGATAATGGGTCATCTTTGGTGTTTCATGGAAGAGACGGAGAGGGAACAGAAAAATACGATTACTTTGAAAGCGTCACAGATGAAGACCTTCTTGACGAGCACCACGGTGACGAGGCTCCAAACACACCATACGGAGTTTCTGCTCCACTCGACGAAGACGTCGGGCCTCACTTTGGGAGCCACACCCCAACCGCGACGGACAGTGAAATGGCAAGACGACCACGGGGAGGGCCCGTGCATCATGACCCGCTCAACCTCGAAAGGCATGGTGCCGACCTCGAAAGCACAGAGAGCGACAATGGTGAAGAGGAGGAATATGATGAAGAATACACGGACGATGATGATCGTATAGGGACATTGATGTCCTCCTCTCCCACTTCCAGTGCCTTCTTCACATCAAGCAACCATTCCGCGGGACGCTGAAATAGCACATAATTATTTTTCTCCCTTAACCAGGAAAAAAAAAAAAAGAAGAAAGACATTTGAGGAGCAGCCTCATTTTTGTGCCTAACAGATAAGGGTAGGTGCTGGTGCTAGCAGTTCTGGGATGTTTTTTTTTTCTTTTTTACGTCCACCTGAAGAAACCCACAAATATACATATAAGTATATGTTAAAGGAAAAGCGCATGGAGCATACCACTGAAGAAGGCAAGGGGTTTGATGATAAAGAGAGAATACTTCCTCTCCCCTTTCTCTCTCTCTCTCTGAAACAAACAAACACCTCCCCCTCCCCCCCCCCCAAAAAAAAAAAACAATTTGTGTGAGGAAGTTAATTAAACTGTAGAATGGGCAACGAATGAAGTAGAAAAAAGCAAGAGGGGGGAATCCTAGAAGGAATGAGGGAGGGCATCGTTTATTTGTTCACTCCATTTGCTTGTCCTCATATATCCATGCATAGGGAAAAGGTGGGTCGTTGCATATTTTTTTGAAGTTCATCTGAATGGGAATATATAACTCCCCCTTCCCCACCACCACCTTTTTTTTCTCCTTTTTTTTTGTTATTATTTTGTATTTGTAGCGTTTTTTTTTTTTTTTTTTGGGGGGGGGGGGGAGGGGGAAGACGAAGAAGCCACATTTATTTGACAGACCCTGATGTGAGCGCGGGGGAGGGCACGCCGAGAAGTCAGGAGTTGCAGTGCACATGCCACATTAGACTTGTGTGTTGCTGGGGAAATCCTGGTCTTGTGTCTCTTTTTCTCTATTTCTGTCTTTTCTTTTTTTTTCCTGGAAGGCGTGAGAAAGTTACGGGAAAATTAATAAATGCGAAAACGAAACAAAAGATGGAAATTTTCTGAGACTTGACGAGTCCGAGACATGTCTTGCGCAACTTTTTAGAGAAATAATAGGGGAGAGTGTGTGAGGTTGTTGGAGAAGGAAGCGAGAGCGATCTGCTATGTACATCTGTTTCAAAAGCTAAACAGGCGAATGATTGGGTGCGAATTGTATATTTTTTAATCTGCGTATTTTTATTTCTGTATGATTCATGTCTATAACTGGCTTTTTGTATGTTTTTTTTTTTTTTTGTTTTGTTTTTTCTTTCGCAAGGGCTGACAGTCTGTTGTGTTTTGACAGTTGTCGTCCATCAAGCATTGAAGGCAGGCACAACCAATGAAACGAAACCGATGGATATTCGGGCATGTTTATGTATATATGTATGTAATTCTTTGTGTATGTGTTTGTTTTTGGTGGCACCTTGGTGTGTTGGTGTCCGGGGAAGGGGGTTCGGATCAACGGATGGGGCGCTGGTAGGGAGTGAGAGGGGGAGAGAGGGCGAGTGGCGCGGCCAATGGCGAAGCAGCTGCGGTTTTTTAAAAGGCTTTATTATTTTTTTACTGGTTTTGTATGCAATTTTTATTTTTATTTTTGCAGCTCGAAAGTGACGGCGCATTTTCTCTGGCGAGCAGTGTGTTGACGCTCCCCCATCTTGTCCTCCTTTGCGCCCACTGTCAGACATCATGTCGGTCCCCTCCATGTGCCTCATTATTCGCACTTCTTTTGTTTTGGTCAGCCAGTCGGGATCCGCAGCACACAAGCCTGGGCAGCACAAAAGGTTTTTTTTTCTTTTATTGTGTGCGTGTGTGCCACACTCCATAGTTCTCCGCGTTTTTCGTGTTGGCGTTTTTCGCGAAGAGTTGCGCAGGATGGCGGTGCAGGGCGCAGCGGAAATGTTTAAGACTTTTTTTCAGTCAAAAGATGAGAATATGAAGTCATTTCTTTGCTCCTTTGTGGAGCTTTCGGCGGCGGAACGCGCCCTTCTTGTTTTTGGCGAACAAAAAGGTGACAAACCGGGTGGCACTGCGATGGAGTCGCATGCGGATGCAGAGATGTTCACGGCGATGGTGCGGGACTTTCGTACTGACGCACAAGATGGTAATGACGATAATACGGCGGTTGCTAGCATCAAAAAGGATGGCGCTTCCAGTCGCGGTGCTGGGAAAGACTGTGAGGGTTTAATGCAGGCACGGCAGCACGCAGCGTCTTTGCAACTGGATGGCACTGAATTGGAGGAAGAAGTGCTAGATGAGTCGAAAGCGCTTAAGACGTCTGCAATGACGGCCTTCTTAAATTACGGCCTTGCGGACGTTGTAACAACATTTGACAACTTTGTTGGTGGTGAGACTGAAGCGGAAATCGCATTGACTAAAAAACCGTCGATAGCCGAGAAGGTCATGGACCACCGATCAGTGGAAGAGACGGGGCCGGGCAGAACGACTCCTGCGGAAGGGAGTAAAGAGGACGGGAACATCGTTGTTGATGAAGGGACCACTTCCGCTGTGGACGGTGTGCAGTCCGACCGGGTTGCCTTGCGTGAAGGAGGCAGGGATGATAATAATGACTATGACGATGAAGATGATGATGCAAGCTTCAGTGACATTGAGCTGCCAGGGCTCGTAGTGGGTGCCACATTGGAGGAGCCTCCCTTGAAAGCTCAGCGGTGTGGCGCTTTTCTTTCCGCAACGGACCTTGAATTGCTGCGGAACGACGATGACGACGAAGTGCAGCTGTTCGTCATCGACCCCTGCTTTGACTACGACGCCGACCCTGTTGGTAGGGCGGCGAGAACACACCCACCATATCTGCGCCTGTGATGCATGCGCCGCATTTCATTTTTTTCCGTTGCTGTTGTGTGCGTGTCCGTCAATTTTTTTTTGTTTCCCAGATGGTCTTTGCCCGCAGTGTCGTGGGAGGTGCGACTTTCCTGTTAACCGCCGTTGGCTTTTCTTTTCCTTTCTTTTGAAGAGAGCGTGCGCAATCGGGACGAGGCCGCAGAACGGCATTAAAAACAACAACAAAACGAACCAACAAGGGGGAAAAAAAAAGGATAAAAATAATAATAATAATAATAAAAGGGAACGCAAGCGAATAAACGGAAAACAACAAAAACAAAAAAAAGAGAAATATCACAATTACCGATTATTGTACATAGTTTACTTACATCAAGCATGCTTAAGGAAAAGAAATTGGCCATGGCGATGATGCTTTTGTACTGCATTCTTTTGCCTTTTATGGCGTACTTCTCTTGGAAGTTTTTAAACAATACAGGGCTGACATTTAGCGCTCCAAAAAAAACGATAGTCTATGATGCGATGCAGACGGCAGAGTTGTATTTTCCTTATCAGTTGCCACTTGACCCCTTGTATATGCTATTGACATCTCGGAATAAATCCAAAAGCATTTTAGAGGACCCGCACTTTGAACCCTTTTGTGAGTATCTTGTGGATCAGGTAAAAAACAAGAGTAGTCCTTTCTTTGGTGTTGTAGAAGGTGTGGACGGATTTTGTACCATTCCGAATTATAGTTCTTTGCGCTATCACTTTATTGGTGGGGATCATAATGAGTCAAGTTTGATAACCATCATTTTGTCATCTTCAGTGGATAGTCGAAATGTACTTCCAACGATCGTTTCTGTTGTTGATACGTGGTGTGATTTGAATGATGTGCAATTCACCCGGGAGTATACCGACAAGAGATTGATATCACGCGACGCGACGGGTGGTATTGTAGGGGATTTGTTCCGCGTTGATGTCATTTCCATTCCAATGGCATTTATGGTGTTGGTATATTGTGTGGGCTCGGTGCGGTTGTTGTTAATTCCATTGTTTACACTTCCTTGTACCGTATCGATTGCGTTTGGCATCATGTATCCGATTTCGTTATGGATGGAGGTTTCATCCTTTGCGCCGGAGATGACTCTTGGTGTGGTTGCAGCTCTCTCGATTGATTATTCTCTTTTCATTCTGACGCGTTTCCGGGAGCAGGTGACGATCCAGGAGCTTCTTCTCGGCCGAAACCCAAAAGCGGAGTTGGAGGTGGTGAAAAATACTGCCACAATGTCGGCAGACATTATATGTGTGTCGGGGCTAGCGGTTTCGTTGGCTGTCGGAATTTTATCCTTTCTTCCCGTTCTTTTTCTTTCCACGATTGGATTGACAATGTCCATCACCGTTCTCTGCACTGTTTTTGTGAGCCTCACTGTACAACCTGCTCTCCTATTGATTTTCTACGACTTTTTTGGACACCCTCCCACATGGACCGAGGTTTGGCACAAACTGCTTGCGTGCTGCGGCTGTGGGATTTCTCTTCCCTCGGACTCTTTACGCACAGACATCGATGAGGACGTATCTACGGCTATGCCACAAGACCCATTGCTTGCGGATAGCGAGATGTCACGTTCAGAGCTCGAGCTACTTGAATACGGGCGACAAATGTCATCGTATTGGTTTAAAATTGGCCGGACGTCTTTTCGCCATCCGTGGATTGCGGCGGCGACAGTTCTTATTATTGGTGCTCCTTTTTTTTACTTTGCACTGCAGCTGCGGATGGACTTTAACGTTTTTACGCAAATTCCACGGGATAGCCCTCATGGGGATGTTTTGAGGCGAATCCAGAATGACATTGGCAAGGGATCTTCTATTCCATTTTACATCCTTTTTTCTGTCCGTGGGACGTATGACGTTTCGTTTTGGAAAACGAATGAGATGACAAACACGATAAAATCTGTCATTGAAGATATTGTAGCAACCACAGGGCAACCGTACTCGTCGATTATATCGCCTAATATGATTATGAAAAACGAGGACGATGCTGTTTATTGGCTGAATTCGTGGGAGTCGTTTCTGCTTTATTACACAAATAATGAATATGAATATCTTTTTAAACGAACTGTTTCTTTTCCCGGAAATAAGGCGGCTTTTATTTTTGTGACACCTCCTGTAAATCCCTTTGGTGCGTCTGCTAATCGATACCTGAATCAAATATATGATGTCCTTAAGAAGCACGCATCAGCGAATGTTTATTTCGACTATGGCATCCTCGGAGCGAGCAGTGATTCATGGGCAATTATGAATAAATCACTCGATTTTTTTCCATTTCAGATTTTGTTTGCATTGGGTGGTATTTTTATTATTATTATGGTCATGTTTCGCTCTTTATTTTTGCCAGTCCGCCTCATTGCAACGGTCATTTACACAATCGGCGTTTCATATGGAGTGGGTGTCGTGGTATTTCAGTACAACTGGCTTCATCCAGTGTGGAAGGCGTTGGATGGTGTAAGGGAATTTTGCTTTTTAATTCCTTTATTTGCATTTTTATTTCTTTCTGCCCTTTCTTTGGACTATGATGTGTTTCTTACGACACGCATCATTGAGTTTAAGAAGAAGGGCTACAGCGACGAGGCTGCCGTAGCGAAGGCAGTGTGGAAGACCGGCCCCATTATATCTTTTGCTGGCATTATAATGTTTCTGACTATTGGGTCAATGGTTTTTTCTTCTGTTATGATGTTGTCCCAGTTTGCTGTGGTTTGCGCGACTGCAGTGCTTCTAGATACTTTTGTAGTGCGGCCATTATTTGTTCCTGCGTTGATGGGTTTTGGGTTTGGACGCAGTTTGTGGTGGCCGCGACAGTTTCCTGAGCTGAAGCGTGATGTACACGACATGCGAATCGACACTACTGACACTCCTGAAGGAATTTCTATTGAGGAGGAAGTGGATCGCGAAGCGGCTTTTAGAGTAGACAATGTGCGTGATGAGAAGGTTTTTAAGCCAGAGAAACCCAATCAGCGTCCTTCAGCTCTTGCTCCGGGTAATGACTTAAAGAAGCATTGAGTATTTATTTAGCGTAGGTGGTTGCTTTTTATTATTTATTTATTTTTATTTTTATTTTAGCGAGATTCTCCCAATTTTTGCCCAGCCAACTATTTAATGCGTTTCATGTCCCTTTCCGTTTGTTTGTTTGTGTGTATTGTGTAAATTTTTTTTTGTTCCTTAAGACAAATTTTGTTTTTTGTCTACCCGGAAAACGTGTTATGGGGATCAGACCTAAGCGTGCGTCCCCCCCTTTTTTTTTTTTTCTTTCTGTATATATTTACATATATACATATTTGTTCACATAATTTGTGGTTGAGCCTTTTGGCTGCTTTCTCCATTTTTACCCATAGCGGAGTACATTTCGCGGCCACGCGTAGAGGGGGATTGCGGGATCCTAATGAGGCATTTGGTCTTTACTGCACTCATCCCATTCTTGTTCTCCGTTGTTTCTCTTTCTTGGACATGTACACAAGGAGGAGGGGAAAGTGTATACATCGTTGTTTATTTAAAATTCTTTGCTGATTTTCAAGATAGTTTTTGGTCTTAGCCGACACATTCTGTTTATTACTATTATTATTTTAGCCTGGTGTGAAATTGATGACGACCTCCACAGGAGGAAAAATGTGGGACGCCATTCATTTCTACAAGGCGTACTTGCCGCCGGCGGAGTCCAACAGGACCCTTCAATACGTTGTGTTGGCGCTGGATGATGAAAGCAGCTCGGGTTTTGCGGCGCCTAGGAACTGCTCTGTGTGTGTTGAATCAACCGAGAAGAGAGTCTACCCTCTTCTTCGTGAAAGCGTACACGTGCGCCTATCGGATGGTCCGCCTATGATAAAACGAGACTGTGACATATACAGTGCATCATCTAGTGAGTCCAACGAAAAAACGAATATGCAGAAAAGACTCCGTTTCTTTCTTTGTAAGAAGGAGGATGTGGTACCCCCGCAACTCAAGCAGCTGCTGGGAAAGGTGAATTATTGTTTTCTACTGTGTGGGAAGAGTTTCCATGGGGAGGCGTGCAGTTGTAACAAGGCCCACTTTTTAAACAAATCCGTATGGCGTTTGGAACTGAGCACTTTTGGCTTCAAAGAGTTTTATGTATCTAGCGGTTTTTATGTGCATTGTATCAAAACAGAGCAGATACGACCAACAGCTGGATTTTTATTTGCTTGTGGACTTCTTCATGAGGGTGTCATTGAGGCCGCGCAACCCATTCTTTGCCGTTATAATGAACGATGCCGATACGGTTCACGGTGTCTTTTTGTCCACGCTGATATTCGAACGGAGGAGAGAACGGCAATGCAGGCATCATTGCCCTTGAAAAGTCTCCTCAAGGCAGAGTCCCGTTTACCCATGTTTTTGTCACAATTGGATGAGTTGGGATTACATACGGTAGGCGATGTACAGCAGTTGAGCAACAATGCCTTTGATGCCATTGTGGCTAGGAGTGAGCCTTGTTGGCTCGTTCAATGGCTAAACATTGCCCTCGTGCGCGATATTCAAACAAAGCATATGCTAAAAAATGTACTTGCCACTTTTCCGGATATCGCTACACCTGTGTCATTGCCGCCCTGTTTGACAAATGTCTTGTCACTGATCCAACTCTCTGTTAAGGAGTTCTATTCATTAGTGCTACCCGTGAAGGTTCAGGCGGCGTGTGAGCAAATCCGTACTCGATTTGAGCCTGACCGGCATCACAACATTGTGGACTTGAGGAAAGAGCCCGAAGGCTCCTTTCTTTCCAAACTGTGTCCCATCATTATGTCATTTCGTCAGAAGAACGCTCATGTTAGTTGGCGCAAAAAAGATCCGAATAGACCTGTTGTGACGTCCTTAATAACGTATATTGACCCTGAAGAATGCGATTGTCAGGTGGACTGTAGTGGACGTGGGAGACCCCCAGCCCTGATAAAACCCAACGGCCGAGAAAGGGAGGAGAAGCATCCACGTAGTACATGGTGCAACTGCACGAGGTCCTTTGTGTTGGCAGTTAACTATGAGCTTAGCACACCCAGCGGATCACGGTGTTCTGAACAGAACGCGTTGGGCAAGCTTGCATCTATGGGGTTGCCAACTAGCGCCATACGAGAAATCTTTGTCCATGGTGAAATGTTGGGTTCGAAGAAGGATCCAAATCCGTTGTTTCCATGTGGTGTATGTGAAAATATGCTGCGCAAGGTTACCCGTGACGTGCACGACGCATACGGGGGGGATGTCGTTTTGTACATGTTTGACTCCACAGTAAATCCAAAAAAACTTGTTTACCTTCCTATCAATGAGATCTCGTATCGTGGTGGGAGTGGTTTTAAGAAGTTTCTTGCCGATTTGCGTGATGAGTAAATATATGTGACGATACCCTTTATTGTTTTGCCCTTATTGATGTATAGAAACTTGTGGAAATAATATGCGATCCGTCGGGGATAAATAGCTCCGTTTCGTCGAAATCCCCTGTTTATTATTATTATTATTACTTGACGTTTGTTTTTGGCGATTCTGCGTTGGAATCTGGCGAATGCACTTCGTTTGTCTGGTGTCCCACACACACACACACACACGGATCACCCCTGCTGGCCCTCTATGTGAAGGGGAGTTTGAGGGCTGCGGGACACACAAACTTTTTCCCCTCGTCAGTTCACAACCGCCCCGATTGTGAACGCGGGCCAATTATAATCCCAGTTGTAATGATGGGCATGGCGAGGTGAGCTGTGATCTGTTTATGCTCTTTTTTTTTTGCCTTGTGGAGATAAGGGGACGAGGCATCCTGCTTGTTGTACATACATTTGTTTTATTATTATTATTTTTTTTTTAACTGGACGGCTGGAAAAGAAGAAGAGCGCGCATGTTTTTTTTTTTCCTTCCCCTTTTTCACTGTGTCTTTGTGGAATATACGCCGGTTTTTTCTCTTTTCTTTTCTACTGGACGCCGCGTTGGGGATGCAGAGAAAAAACCACAGCTTTGATCGCATCCGTGTTGCTTTTTGTTGTTTGGCGAGGATGGATGGTTAAAACGAATGATTTGTACACCTCCACAAGTAAATAACTACGCAAATGCAATTAACTTTTTTTTGGGCCTCGTTTTCCCTTTTGAATTTTTTATCACCGGCAAAGAAGTGGTGAAAAGAAGAAGAAGAGAAGAGGAAGAGGGAAAAAAGGTACAAAAGAAACACCCGAGGCCAAAAGAAGTTATTATCGTCACTGTCTTATTTTTCAATTGCTTGTTGTTGTTGTTGTTGTTGTCTTTGTGTTTTTTTGTTGCTTTTTAATTTCTCCTTCTCCCCCTTTTACCCCAACCCCACTATTCACACCTTTGATGGTATTTTGAAACTTTATGTGTATCAACATTGGAGGTTACGGTGCCATCACTTCTTGCAGCGGCAGCAACAACATTATAACCGTCTGTCTGTCTGTCTATCTCCACGCATATACGCGTAAACGTACGACTTTTTGTTTTTCTTTTTTTTTTTTTTTGGGGGGGGGGGGGGGGGGAATGTTTTGGTTGTTTTTGGAAGTGTTGACCCGGCAGTGACTTCCATTGCCGTTGCTGTGCTCGTACGCTTGTTGGTCTTCTTTGTGTCGATGGAGACGGATGCTTGGCCGACGTTTCAATACCCGTTGCCAAGGTGGCGCCTGATGAATTGTGATCGGCGAGCCCAGGATTTGATTGATTGTGATCCAGAAAGCTACCGGAACACAGTTTTTGTTTTTGCCATTCCGGGAATCGTTGTGGCTGGCGGTGTGGCTATGACGGTGCTTCTCTACCTGATCTGCAAGTATGTCTTTGATTGTTGTGGGGGGCGCAAACAGTCCCCGAACTTCTGCTGTCCACTGAGGGGTCACTCGGCCAAGTACAGCAGGGAAGATCTTCTTCGTCCAGTCTTATTGGCGGTGATGGTCTTTGGCCTTTGTGCGACGACCTGCATATGGGGGTGCGTGTCGCAGCATCATTTGGTCTCGACGGTGGGAGAAATTCACAACATCTCGAGTTTTGCTATTAAAAATGTAGAGAAAATGAATTTGGATTTCTTGGAAAGGATGACAATCACTCTTTACGACGCCAGCAAGGACGTCACGTATCCAATGTCTCTTCTCCGTTCGAAAGAGAACGAAAACCTCTACAAGGAAACAGCGGCACGCACTGGAGATGTCTCCAGCATGCTTAACCAGACAGTTATCAGACTCTTTGACAATATTGTTCAATTTTCATGGGAGCCGTACGTTTTATTTGGCGTTTCTTTTGGAGTCTCCTTTTTAGGGATGATCTTTGCCTTGTGCAACCGTCGCCGCGAATCCATTTTCGTCTTCTTGATTATGGCACTGCTCACTGTCATGACATGGGGATTTAACGGCCTATACTCTGCTTCCTCATTCCTCGTTAGCCAAAGTTGTTTTGAGATGACAGAATTTACGGAACGTCGCACCAATGTTGTAAAGGCGGTTACAAAATGCGATGACACCCGCTTTGGAGGCCAAACTGCCGCGTTTGAAGAAAATTTCCGGCAGCTGTCGCGATCGATCTGCGAAGAGATAAAACCATACTGCTATGATAAAACCATTATGCCGGACATGAACGTTGCACAGAAGAAGGTCTTTGCATGCCCAATTCACATGGTATGCAGGTATGTAACCGATGATGAGGTGATGTCATGGGTCAGGACTGCACTTCACACAGCACCGCAGGTTACACAATCTGCCACGGCGAGCGCGGAGGCCCAGAAAAAAGGATATACGTGCCCTCCGACACCTGAGGGGGTGTGCGATCTGAGAGCGTGTTCGGCTACATGCAGGAAAGATGGTGTTCTCAGCGATGTTGGCAAGACCGCGAAGAAGGCGCTCTACGCCATCTTTGGATTAGCAGAGGCACGGTCTGCCTTTGATACTGTAGACAGTCAACTGAAAGGCTGCGACGCTGTTTTCACTGGCATAATTCCCCTAATTGAGCCCTTTTGCCAGGCCGCTGCTAACAACATTTATAACCTGTTGCAATGCACCGGGCTTTTGGGCGTAACGCTCATTGTCGCCTTGTACACGTATGGAATGGGGTCCAAGCGCTTTATTCCGTTTGAAGAAGCGTTATTACCACAAAAAGACTAATGGCACATAATGTATTGAGATCCCGGTTTTGTCCATTGGCCAGGTTATAGGGAGAGAACAACCCGATCAGAACGAAAACAAGAGGGCAACCCGTGAGAGGGGGCTACCGGGGCGGGAAGACGGTTTCGTGCAAACATTTGGCCTCAGATTATGCGTGTGTATGTGTGGGGGGTAACTCGAATGGAAATACTGAGAGTTGAAACCAAAGTTCCGCTGGTTGCTTCTCTTGACAAGGCCCATACGAACGTGTCTGCAGAGACGGCTGTATTTACACAGAGACCGGCTGTTCAATCAAGGGAGGAGGAGAGTGAGGAATATGTCTTATTTGTTGTCCTCTTACGGTCTCCTCATGAGGTGTTTGATAACCCCTAGCATCGTCCTTTGTAATCGATTTCCCGATTTTAAAATGTCAGGCAAGAATGAAATATAAAAAAAAAAAAAGAATATTAGTTTGGATTGCATCGAAGACGCGTTGTATTTATTTATTTATTTATTTATTTTTTATTTTTCTATATTTTAATTATTTTTTTTTTAGATGCGTGTATGCATCTTATCTCATTGTAGAAATGTGCTATCATTTATTTCTCACGTGATTTTATGTGTATATACACACACATATATATATAGACTTTTTGTTGTTGTTATTTTGGAGTGGCGGAGAGGGTTTCTTCACAGCTCTTGTGGGTTTGTGCAGAGAGAGAAAATGATACATATTGCGTGTTTACATGTTTCTTGGCGTCAATTACCCCATTTATTTATTTTCACTGACACTCTCATGTAATGAGTGGTGGTTATCACACACGCACACAGAGAGAGAGAGAGAGACAGAAACGGACAGAAGAAGAAAAAAAACAACAACAACCAAACAGGCAAGGGACGTGCCTAGCGAGAAGGAAATTAGATTTATTTGATGACCTCAGTTTCTGAGCGACTGGTACTGCAGCTAGTGAAGTTACACCAGCGTGAGGAGGAGATAGAGCGGGAGAGGTCTCTTTTGCGTGAGAGGGAGGACCTGAAGGCGTCCTTGGGGAAACGGCTGGCGCAGGTGCAGGGTCAACTTCAGAAGGTGGAATCTGTACGCGCAACCCTCGAAGAACTTAATAGGGCCGAAGAGGAAAAGTATCATGAAGCACGGAAGGAGGATGAGGTGGAGAGGGAGAGGCTTTCGGAAAGTCTCCGTGACGCCATTGACACCGTGAATGCTTACTCGGAAGAAGTTATGAAGATGGAGGCGAAGGCGAATCATGAGAACAAATCCCTCAAGGAACAACTGGAAATTTATGCCAAGCACCTCTCCAGTGGAGAGGACAAATATGACGAAATAATGAAGGCACGCGAGGCGGAGTACGCAAAGATTGAGTCCAAGCGCGATACGGAGGCGGCACGTAAGCCGCAGCTGGAAAAGGAATTGGAGGATGAAACAAGGGAGTTTGAAGCAGCCCGTAAGGAGCATGCAGAGCTGCAGGAGAAGGTGAATGGGTGTCTCACGTACCTCTCAGATTTTCAAGAGCGCCTGCTAAAGGCGAGGGAAACTTTTGAAAGTGCGAAGAACGAGAAGGAACGACAGATGCGGAAAATTCGCTCCTTGGAGAGTGATAGGCAGCTGATGATCTCAAGGGCTGAGAAGAGCAAAGGCGAGCGTGATAAGGAGCATGCAAAGGTGATGCTTCTTGAGGAAAAGATAAACACACTGAAAAAGCAGACAGAGAAGATATGGGCGGTGGTGGCAATGCTGGACGGCGGGGAAGCAGACAAAGAAGCACGGAACGAAAAAAATTAGACCTGTTGAGTTCCGTTTATGAAATTGTTGATGTCCACCGCTATTCGCTCCCACGTCCTTAAATGACTGTTAGAATGTCTGGGTGCTTTTTTGTTTGCATTGTGGGAGATCGCGTCGAAATTTTCGCCGACAGCACGTCGCAATTTCCCCGATTGGCATATTTATACCAAACCATTTTGTTGTTGTTGTTTCCGTGTGCTTTTTTTCTTTTTCTTTTTTTTTTTTTTTTGCTCTCGTGTTGTTGTGCATTCTCTACTTGCCGTCTGTCTTTTCGTCTCTCTCTCTCTCTGCGTGCGTGCATTTGTGTTTGTCTTGGCGAAGTCGGGTATTTTTGCTCCTTTTGTCGCTTCAATCAAATTTTTACGCGTGGGCCTGTGGAAGCCGTAGAAAAAGAAAAAAACAGAAGAAAAGAAAGAAAAAGAAAAAAAAAGATGCTTCGCGTCTCCCTGCTTTGGCGGGGCGTGAGCCCCTTCACGCTGTTTCTGATGGACCAGAAGAACAATCCGGCGCTGAAGGGGTGCGCCATCTCGAAGCGAGGCCGCATCCTCTCCAAAATGTACAAGGAGCTCTCGCAGAACCAGCGGCGGGAGTTGAAACAGCGAGCGGCACGCCATCCGACTCTTCCAAAGCAGACAAGAAAACAGCGGGAGGAGGCCGCGAGCCTGGCGAGGAGCAGACGCAAAGGGAAGTTTGCTAAATTTGTGCGGGAAAACTACCACAAGGTGAAGAAGCTGAACTACCGCAAGCGCTTTGGAGCCCTTTCACAGCTCTACGATGTGTCCAAGCCGCTAGATGTTGAGAAGGAGATTTCGAAGGCCCTTCCCAAATCGAAGTCCAAAGCGCAAACCAAGAAGAAAGTGAAGGCAACCGTGAAGTCCATGGCAGCCGAAGAAAAGAAAACGACTTCGGCCTCTAAGCGGGCGAAGTCAACGAGTGGTCGAAAGAAGATCAAGAGTGTTGCCAAGAAGATCACACGTAGCAAGGTGTGAGGGACGAGAAAGGGAGGGGGACTCGGACATTTGGGCATCTGAGACTCCTTTCTTCCACCGCACTCCTTTTTCTTTTGGTTCGCCGGTGATAGCTTCCTTTTCTTTTTTTTCTTCTTTTTTTTTCCTTTCCCTTTCTTCTGGGAGCATGTATGTGGGTTCGTACCGTTTATATTCAGCGAGGAACGAGATGCAATGGCGTTGGCGCAACTGAATTCATGGCACTGGCAAAATTGGAGGCTACTGTTATTATTATTCTGCAGGGTGTGCAGCGAGAAAACTGCAGAGATTGCCTGCGGTGCCTTTTTTTTTTTTTTTACTGTTTGTGTCGTTTTCCCTCGTCTCCCCTCTTGACTGCCTGTGCTGCGTGGCAAGGAGAAGGACGGAAACAACCAAACAAACACCAGAAGAAAGAAGAAAAACAAAAAAACAACAACAACAACAACAAAAAAGCCGACGAGGACGAGCCACGAAAGGGAGGAGAGAAGAGGAAGAACAATAGAGGCCCAACTTTTTCACTTGGATGAGATATACACATTATATACACATCATAATATGATATCACTTATTTTTATATTTATGTCTATATCTATGATATATATATACATGCTGTGTATTGGATCATTCTCAGCATAGATGAGCACACGTACACCGTACATACATATACATATATCATATATGTATGTATGTATGTATGTAGGGTGAAACGTGGGAAAAAAAATTATATATAAAAAAAAAAAGAGAGAGAGAAGGAGGGAGGGAGAGAGAGAGGGAGAGAGAGATGCTAGAAATTGAGCAGCAGCAGCAGCAGCAGCAGCAAAGAAAGAATCAAAAAAAAAAAAGTGGAGACTCTGGAGGTTGTGGACATGCGATATCTAGAAATTTATGGGCCGTCACAAAGCAGAAAAGAGCTTTTGGAAGGGGAGGGAAGGAAAAGCGGAAATATAGAGAACTTTTCTTGTTTTTTCTCTTCTTCTTCTTTTCTCTCATCGGTCTCTTTTAAAATTTGTTATTATTTGCTGTTTCTTCTTTTTTTTTTTTTTTCATATATTTGTTCGCGGTGCAGTAGGTGGTCTTTTATCATCTTCTATCTTTTTATTTTTCCCTATTTATTTATTTATTATTATATTTTTTTTTTTGATGGATGACTTCATGTTTACAGTCATGCGCATTGCGGTATCTATACATATATGTCTGTCTGCCTCCGTGATTGTGTCTGGAGGTGGCGGTGTGGCTGTCTGCGTACTTGTGCGTTTGTGGGAATGCAGAGAGGAGGATTGCTTCTCCGCAGAGGCGGGAGGGGAGGACGTCATTCTCCGGAACATGGAAGAGGAGCAGGCGGCTTTTTTTTTTTTTTCCGCTTCTGTTGATACGGACGGACACGCACACGTCTTTTCACCGAGAAGGTCAAACGGAAAAAAAGAAAAAAAAAAAGATTCTTGACAAAAAAAAAAGAAAAAAGGGAAAGTAAAGGATAGAGGCAGAGATGGGGAGAAAAAAGAAAAAAAAAATGAAGCAGCGAAAGAAAGAAAGGGAGAAGATGTATGAGAGCAGAGGGACGAAGGAGAGGGCGCATGTGCACGTGACGTCTCTCTTTTTTTTTTTTTTTCTTTTTCTTATTTGTGTGTTTGCGTGCGTGCGTGCGTGGCTCGGCACGTTCTGTTGTTGCTTTGCTTGGATTGTTGGTATCGCTGTTTTTCTTTTTTTTTTTTTAAATCAGTTGACCCCTCTGCTGTTTTTCATGAAGGCACACGTCATCTTCTCTTGACTCTCTTTCTCTTGTGCACACACATACACATACACACCTGTCGTTTCAAGAGGATAAAGGCACAGCTGTTTCTAGGTGAGGGAAAAAATTAGCCGATGAGACAGTCAGGAATCAGCTATAAGGTCCAGCATCTCCTTGATTCCCTTGTACACGACAAGAAATGTGCCGACAGCATATCAAGCGCCTCGGATTCATTGGCAGCGTCTCAAACGGAATATGTTGTGAAGCGGCTGAAGGAAGGGATTTCAAAGGAGAAATTAACATTGTATCTTCTTGGTATAGAAGGCGCAGTAGTACCGTTGCCATTGGTCCCGCAGAATTACCAATGTCAGGCGGGTAAAATTAGGAACTTTGTGGAGTGGTGTTTTCCGGAGAGTGCGAGACTGTGCGAAGTTATTAAAAGGACGGCCGAAAATCTCCCCGCTCTTCGAGAGGCATTGGATGCGCCCACGATTGATAGAGATCGTGTATGCACCCTCTTTACCGATCATATTTGCGAAATTGAAGCCACCAAGGGTGTTCGTCCCTTTTACTATACGGAATTGATGGATTTGATTATGGAGAAGGGTTTTGAACTCGGTATTTGGCATTCTTATATCTTCCAAGACGCTGCGATGGCCATAAAAGAGTGGGGAGCGCAAGGGCAGACACGAACACGTGTTGCCATCTGGAGCATCTGCCCCGTTGCGGTCACAAAGGCGCTTCTTCGTCACAGTGATTACGGTGATCTCACGCATTATGTTTTGGACTACTTTGATCCCAGTGTTGCTGGCTCAGCGCTCGAATTGTCCACTTACATGTCTATAAGGAGGCAACTTGAAAGGCGCTTTGCTCCATTCGCGAGCGATATTAATATTTTATTCGTCACCAGTAGTTCAAATGGAGCAGTAGCAGCGAATGCATCGAATGCAATAGATGCTACATTTTTATCCATGCGTCCTTTTAACAATCCATTGACTTTGGATACTTTACATGGGATTGATATTGCGACCGTGTCTTCCTTTTACCAACTTCGTGGGGGAAGTGTTTCGTACCCGCTGCTTTGTGCTGAAGCGAGAGAGTACATGGATGGTAGGGCGCAGGTGAAAGCCATCAAAGAGGAGGAACAGCTAAGCTCATAAGAGGAAAAGCGCAAAATATGAGGCTCAGAATATCACAAAAAAAAAAAAAAAAAAAGAGAGAAAAAGAGAAAAGAGAAAAAAAGGGAAAGAAAAAACGAAGAAATTTAAGCATAATTTTGTTTGCTCCTTCTCACTTCTGTTTTGCACAATTTTCTTTTTTTTGTTGTTGTTTTTTGCGCTAAACCCGACTGATAAGCCTTTACCTTCTGTAAGTGAATTTGTGTTTACGTGCATGTGTGCAGGGCATTAAATGTGTGAGCCGCATGCGGTTTTTAAAGCCGTTTTTTTTTTCTTTTTTTTTTTTTATTTATTATGATTTTCCCGTGCCACTGTTCCAGCCGCCTCCACGGGTACGCTGGAGTCTGCAAATTCCTTGTGATGTGTCGTCTTGTCAGATTGATGTGGCATTTACCTTTGAGACCAATTTTTTAAACGCCTCCACACATCCTTCTGCTTATTAACAAGAAAAACTAAAAAAAAAGAATTATTTGTGTTTGTTTTTATTTTCTATTTTTTATTTCTACTTTTGTATGCAATTTGAGTTCTTGCTTCCTTTGATTTTTCTTTTTTTTTTTTAATGTTTTGGTTTACCATTATGGTGTATATGGTTCTTTCGGCAAATATATTTTTATTCTGCTTTTCTTCTTCTTTTTTCTCCGCGTGTGTTTGTGCGTGTGTGTGTGTGTGTAATTATTGCCTCCATCCTGTGTGTCACATTATCGACCCACTTGCCTTCTCTCTCTCACACACTTTGTGTGTGTGCCATACTAATTGGTGTTTCCTTCTTTTTTATTATTACTTTTTCTTTTCTGCAGAAGCACGGCAGAAAGGGGGGAAGGAAAGGGAAAGGAAGAATTGGGGAACCAACAGAAAATACCGCCTACACATATAGAAGTGGAAGAGGGAAGAAGGAAAATACATATATAGAGCGTGCATTTGCGTTTGCGTTTGTGTGTGTACGTGTGGGAAAGTGGTGTGGGATTAACGTTGAAGTTTTTATTGAGTAGTAGCAGCAGGGCTTGAGGCTCCATGGGTGGTGGTATTGGCAGTAGTGGTGGAGGCGGCAGCGCTGGTAGTGGCAGTGGTGTCGTTGGGGGTCCTCCCCACCCACGCCGCATCAGCCTGAATCCGATAGTGCATGAGCATATTCCGCCAGACTACTTGTCAAACTTAAAAAAATACAAATATAGCGGCTCAGACTCCAGCATCATTGCGCGGTACGTTATGCAGCCATACTGGAATTTTATTGTGAGTCTTGTACCAATGACTGTGGCACCCAATGCAATCACACTGACGGGGTTTCTTATTGGTCTATCTTCTTCCATTTTGGTTATGTTCTTTTTTTTCTTTTATGATGCGGTCTATCCAGCTTGGGTTTGGTACTACGCAGCTGCTGCCCTTTTTATTTACCAAACGTTGGATGCTGTCGATGGTAAACAGGCACGCCGAACTCAAACGTGTGGTCCGCTTGGTGAATTGTTTGATCATGGATGTGATGCCTTTTTGACTCCATTGGTTCAGGTTATTCTGTGCTGTGCCCTAGATCTTCCATCATGGATGACGTTTGCATACAGTACAATGTCATCCATTGTTTTATTTTGTGCCATATGGGAACAATTTAGCACGGGTACATTAGATCTTGGCTACATCAACGGTCCTACTGAAGGTATATTTATGGCGTGCATCTTGTTTATCATTACTGGCCTTTATTCAACCTCCATTTGGGATACTCCTGTTATTAGCCCGTATGAATTAAAAATTTCTTTTTTTTACGGAGAGGTATCGTTTGTTATCTTCACTCTTCGTAGCCTTATTTTTCTCTACATCACTGTTGCGGCCTGTTTAACTGTGGGAGCGAACATTGTACATGTGGTTGGGAGGCCCGGTGTCCACGTTAAAGGAACACCGTTTTTTGTCATGCTTCCCATGTTGTTTTTGTTATTCTTCCACGTGTGTTTGTTTTTGACGTATACCTCGATCCATGACAAGTACCCATTTGCGTTTGAGTTGAGCTTTGGTTTTCTGACGTCATACACTGTTACCCGAATGACGGTGGCGAGGCTGTGTGCGATGCCGTATAGTCTTTTCAACGCCTTTTATCTGATTACATTCTGCGTCACGTTTGGTGCGCTTGTCGTTCACGCACACTTTCGTCAAATCGAGATCAAATATTTGGAGCCGTCACTTGGTTCTGCCATGGTTGCGTTAGCCGCGCTGGGGGTTTGGCAGTATCTACACATGATCTTGTCGCTTTTTACACAGATTTCGTATTACTTGGGTGTCCCGTTACTCTCCATTACTTCTCGCGAGGAGAAGGATGCGAGAGCGATGGAGTGACGAAAAGGATTATTTGGGGTTAGAAGAACAATGAACACAGACTCATCTTGTTTTTCTTGGTGTTGTTATTGGAAATAACCTCTCGACTTTTTTGTTGTTGTTGTTGTTGTTTCTCTTGGCGCGTATGTGTACCAGAATAGTACCGCACTATTTCCATTTATGCATGTATTTCTGTTTGTATCTATATTTATGAGGTTTGTTGTTGTTATTGTTGTTGGTTTGGTTTATAATGACAATGCGGTTTTGTATCCTCTTTTTACTCCTCATTGTGGGCTTTTGACCATTTTGCTGGCGCTGCTCCTTGCGGAGCTTTTGTGATTGACTGTACGTTTTTGCCTGTCAGTTTGCCAGAGGCAGCCGTATACACACACACACACACCACATGCACAGAGAGAGTTTTATTGCTTGATATCTTGTTATGCTTGTGTTTATTTATGCATTTAGCTGAATTATTGATGTATTTGCCGCCTCATATATATGTGTGCAGGGAGGGGGACGTGCGAGGCAATTCTTTCTTCCTGTTTGGCAACTCCAAGTTTATTCTCGTCGCTGCCGCGGATGGGTGGTGGTGGGAAGGAGCTGGCATGAAAAGCAGTCAATAAGGGGGACGAAAAAGAAAAAAAGGAAACATGTCTTTACTTCCAACAGTATTGGTTGACTTGCCGGATAATTTACAAAAAAAAATTAATAATGGTAATAATATAAGAGCAGATGAAAACTAGAGGCTTCATCAACTTAAAAATAAAAATAAAAAAACGTGCCGAGTTGCTTCCATGTTACACTGGCGGCTACTTCCTATCCCTTTTTGCCTTCAACGATAGCAACACACGGAATGAGGGGTAATAAAGGGGGAAAAAAAAGGCAGTGAATGGCCAGAGAAAGAGGGACAGAGAGAGAGAGAGAAGCAACAACAACAACAACAACAACAGTCAGCTGTGTGGTTGGATGTGGGTGTGTGTCCTCACACCTTTTGGTCGTCCACAGCGTGCATTACAGGCGCCACGATAAAATGTATTCAGATTAACTGGAGAGAGTTTTGGATGCATATATGTATATATTTTAAGAAAGAGAGGGGCGTGTGAGTGTTTGCGCGCGTGGAAAAAAAGGAAAGGAAACAATAGGAATGCGTTGACCGTGAAAATTATTTGTTTCCTTCATTGGAATACGAGCTAAAGGAAGTTTACCCTTTCTGTTCTTTCTTTTTTTTTCTTTTTTTCTTTTTATATATGTGTTTGTGAGTATGTGTCTTTTTGTTTCTCCCTCCTGGCGCTACATGAGGAGTTGTGGCGTCTTTACCTTACCTCTCTTGCTTTTTTATTCTCTTCTCTGACACACCACTAGACGGTGCGGAGGAGTAACGGATGCTGCTTGGGATATATGAGACACAACATTCTGAGTAATTTGCGGCTTTATATATATGTGTATGTATATATATTTTAATTGTGTGAATCAAGCAATTTGAGTTTGGCTTCCTTTTTGTTGTTGTTGCTTTGTATTAGCTTCGAGAAAGAGCAAAGTGACGAACGGCAGAATAAGGAAGGAAGGAAGGAAGGAGGGGGGAGGGGTGAAATAAGCACGAAGAGCATCGAGGGTGGAAGAGAGGGCGCCGTGCCAGAGCCAATGAGCGGATCCAGCCTTCTCTCATGTGTGGTCAGTCGCGTGGCACCGTCGCTGTTGGCACCGAGGAGGGACGACCCGGATGCCTTTTTGCGTCATCTTCAACTTCTCTCAAAGGACTTTATTACTCGTTTTTCTTCTCCCGAGGCCATATTGACCCCGTACTTCTCTTCGAAGGAAAAAATCCAGCCTGCAGCGACAAGCGCTTCCGAAAACAGCGTGCTGAATGTACCTTCTTCTGCGCATGGGGCAGTAGATGAGCTGTGTCCTCTTCAAATTGCTCTTAAATTTCTTCTGGGGGAGAAGGAGTCATGTAATCGGATGCACGTTTTTGAGCTGAGTATATTCCTTGCTCTTCTACGACATCCTTGCCAGGGCTACAAAAATATTCTTCTTTGGAGTTCTCTCATTGAAAAACTGGAGGAGCTGGGATTTTATTACGTTATGCAGAGAAGAATTTCACAGCTTTGGGAGTCGGTCAAACAACAAGAAGGTGAGTTGGACGCGTATAATGAACTGCGTCTTATCAGACTTTCATGCGATGTTGTACTTTTTTTTGGTGAGCATGCGCCACAAATTCCCTCGCAAGATGTTCTTCGAGAGTTGGCTTTGCTGGCACAAGAGATGTGGGCCGAAAGCGCTTCAATGGTGGTGCGACGCTGTGCACTCGTTATTTCTGTCTTTTTGACGAAGTATTCTTTGATTTCAATTGAAGCACTGTGCAGTTACAAGACAAGCGTGGATTCTCCTTATTGTTTGGTTGTTCTTGCAAGTGTCCCTGCCCTGAGAGAAAGGACAGATGTCAATCCGGAGCTGCTTCGCGCGGCATTAGAAGTTGTATTCACTACAACCGTTTACTCTACGCCTATTGCGACCTATTTTTCTGATGAAGGTGTCCACTCGGTTTCCCTGTCTCTTGTGCAGCGGCAATTCGCCAAAGTTTTGTATGATCTCTTTTCAGGAGTCTCGGGTGAATTTTGGGGTTACTTCACGGGAGAAGCACTCCTCTCGGCCATAGAGGCGGTTGCAAGGTACGCATGTCTGTGGGATTTTCTTCCATCCGGTGTGCCTCTGTTGCGGCCATACATACGGAATTTTCTTGCCGAAGGAAGCAGTGTCTATACCGTTTCTTTGTTTAATTTTTACGCATCTGCTTTGGCGTATCATGTTGGGTTTGACGTGTTGGTTGATGAGGAGGCCGCGATCCTCAACAGGAGCACCCCATGTTACATTACCTACGGCTCGCTTTTGGAGGGAGAGGTGGAAGAGAAGGGGGCAGCCCTCACTCATAACACCGAAGGTTTAACAATGGTGATGACGGATACACCCATGAAAAAAACTTTTCGACTGTTAGCGATGGGGTGGAGATCGTTTCGTGGAGGTGAGAAGGTGGTTGTGCGAAGTGCCTTTTCTCTTTTACATGCCTTGATGTCCAATTATTCCAGCCACCAGAAGGTGCTAGAGGAAGTTATCGGATGCAAACTTTACTCGCTCTTTCCTCATGTGGCCACCGTAGTTTTGACGGATTCTGTTGACGATGATGACGTGGAGCTTGTTGAGACCTTCTATGACACCATTTCCTCATTTCATCCTCTGCTGGGCAACGTTGCCTACGCGGCCTCTAACCTCCTTCGACCGGATTTGATGAAAGGGGTGGGAGTGCGTTACGAGTCAACCGAAATTGCATTGCTTCACTTGAAAATCTATGATACACTCTTTAAGAGCTACGAAAATGCGGTGCCTTTTGTTGGCATTGTCGAGGCTGTGACACACATTCCGCATGGTCTCATCCCTTGTTCGTTCCTGGCGATGGAGTTTTTTGTTCAGTGGTTGTCTGTTGTCCGGGCGGTGCCGCTGGAAGTGCCGCGTTCACTCTTCCAGTTATTGTCCAAGGAGGAATCAACGGCGAGGCTCATTTATCGCCTGTGTGAAGGAATTTTTGTACTTTTGCGTGAGCTTCAGTCGGGAAATGTTTTTCTCTGCTCGTTGCCAGCCACACCCCTTTTAGAAGGCGCGATTTGTCTCCTTTCTGCTGCTGTCTGTGATGGAGGCCACCACAACACACTGGCCACCTGCGTGATTGCGACATACGGCGAGAATACCCTTTCAGCATGTTTTATGCTCTACTGCGTGATATTCTCTCCTAACGCTTCAGTCTCGTTGGTGGAGTCCACAGCAGGGCTACTGGCGTATGTATTGGAGCGCTCACAGGAGAAACTTTTTGGCACGATGCGTTTTCATACCTCCACAGAACTGCGACGAATATTATTGTCATCCATTCACCATGAGCTGCAACTGTCGACTGCAACCAACAAATCCGTAAATGTTTTTCGGTTGGCATCTCTTCGTTATCTTCTTTGCTTAGATCCGGCATCGTTTTTCTTCTTGATGCTCCCTGAGGAAAGGGACAGTGGAGGCGGTTCGTCCGAGCTCCCACTCACCTGCATCCTACGTGACAAACTGGGATGCGTGGAAATCACACCACTTGAAAAAGTTGAGGCTTTTGACCTCCTTCGAGCCCTCGACGATTTGGATTTCCCCATTACTTCTGCCGTCAATTTGCTGTCGGATATAATAGGTGGTTCAGCGTACGTCCAAGCTGCCTTTGCGGCGGCTGTGATTAAGTACATATGTGGATCTATCATTGGTAAAATGCATTTTGAGGGCAGCCGAAGCGCAAAATACGGAGAGAGGGGAGGATCGCAGCAGCGTAGCCCAAGTCGTTCAACGATTCAGAATGAAAAGGGCAACTTATCGTCAGAGGATGTAGCAGCCATTCGCGTGATGCTTGAAACGGGATCTAGGGCGTTGGAGCATTGTAGTGCCTTTTACCAAGTCATTGAAAGGCAGGCTGGGACTGTTAATAACTGGGTTGATTCACGTCTCTCAGGAGATGCTCCTAAAAGGAACTCGCAAGAGCTTGTTCTTTCGAGAGTAACTCAAGACGTTGTGTCCAACTTGTCCACTTTTACTTCTATTGGATTGTCTGTGAATTCATTGCAGGCAGGCAGTGGAAAAATAAAACTAAAACCCATGCTTCTTGGGGATGGATTTCTCTTATGGAACGATGGAGAGGAGGATGTTATTTCACTGAATCACATGGCATCTGCTTTGGAGGCCATGACCCGTCTCACAGCTTCCCTAGAGGCTGTTGCATGGCTCACATGTGGTGAAAAGGAAGCCCATTTCGCTTCTTCAAAGTTGTTGGAGTTGTCACTTCAGGGAATGCAAATGGTGGGACACACTGCCATTCCCCTGCGTGGTTTGATGTGGTCGTGTTTTGAGGGTTGGCTATCACTTGCTCGTGGAGCGGCTTCTGTGCACATGCAGTCTTTGAGAGAATTTGCTTTAATTTCATCACCATTGAAATTAAATGTCTTGTTTCAAGACTTTGTAAAATTGATGATTTCCAATCATGAGCACATTGATGTTGTTTGCCAGGGGATAAAAGTTCTATTGGCCTTTCAACCCGTTGGTTCATTGGATGAGGGGACGGCAATACAAATTTTTGAGTTTATTTTGAAATTTTTAGAGACACATCTGAACAGGGCACCCTTGAGTTCCCTAACGACTCTAATTCTGGGATGTGGTGTCATCTACGGTCGTATGGGTAAATTTTCTCCCGTGCGGTGTGCGCTCAGCACATTGGAGAATTTATGGACTTTTGCAACGAATCTGTCTTATAAGATTCCTGCCACGGGGCCTGCCTCTACATTATCTGACATTTTTGACCATGTGTTGGGTGCCGCAAGCACTGTCCTTCTGCAGAATGACGAATTGACCACCTATTTCCCGCATAAACGTGTGATTGCTCTGGCAAATGCTTTGGGGCAATTTAACGACGCGGCCATTTACGATCCCATTGCAAACTTGTATGGACCACAAGCGTGGCACAGGGCGTGGCTATCCGTACTTCTTTTACTTCACGCTGTTTTGGTGAACATGGGGGGAAATCGGTCCGATTGTTCAGAGTGGTTAAACGCCGTTTCTACCTTGGCAGCAACAAGTCCACGATTTCAGGATGCCGTTTCCGGCTTTGTGTCATTCGGAGATGTAAAAGAAACGAAGACATTTGCTTGGGAGCTGCGTGAAATGCAGTTGTGTACATCCATCATCGCCTTGCTGGCCAGTTTTGGATTTTCAAACGCCTCTCTCACGCCACATGTACGGCGGTGTTTTTGCCACATACGGCGATATCAAATTCCGACAGTGGCGGCGGTAGATGAACGCGTCGTAAAGGGTCTTCTTGTGACAACCATACGCGATCAACTCTCCTACCTCATTCAACAGTCACCACCACCCACGTTTTCGGAAGAAGATCTTTTCATTGTAACAATAGAACGCTACCGCACTTCATCGACAAACAGTTCTTACGTCCTGCATGAGGACTCGCCCCAGCAACGCATGGTGGGCGATGGGAGTGAGTTGAGGGAAGAGCTATTGTCCTTTGATGTTCTCCGCTCTTTCATTTTACGTGAATTAAACATCATTCGGAGGCTTCATCAGGATAGTGCGCCTGGTGCAGAGGCCCACTATCCGCCAGAGCACACTCCTTTGTCGCACTCTAGTTTTACGACGGCCACCAGCGTGGATAGCGTTTTGGAGGTGGAGTTCCATGAGGGCGGCAATCAAAACAGTGCTCCACACATTGAGAATGTCAAACTGGCGCTTGGTCTTTTTGTGCGGTACGCTCGCCTCTACTTGAGCACGCGTAGTCTGGCCCTCTTGGATCGTCAAGAGCTTTCGGTATCGCTCGAAAAGCTTCTTCATGCACTCAATCGTTTGATTCACGATGTTCGTCGACTCGGGAACTCGGTGCTGACTGGGATTGTGGAAAACGTGCGGGAGGATCTGAAGAGCCTTGCTGGGATTCTGCAGAACAGCTAATGGGGCATTCAGAAGACGATAAGGATGTTAAAAGAAGAAGCGGCATGGTTTAATTGATTTTTTTTTTTTGTGTGTGTGGCGTTGGCTTCTTTCACTTTATCTGGCTGTGTTCCTGTAGGCATAATTGAGTCTTTGTCTTTCCTTTTCCCTTTCTCCTATACGAATGCGATTGTCATGTTTTTTTTTATTATTTGGCTTTTGTTTACTTGTTTTAATGCGTGCCTCTTTTTTTTTTTGTGTGTGTGTGTTGCGGTTCCCCCGTTCTTTTCTTGTTTGTTTGTTTGCTTTGTGGATATGTGCGGGGGTAAGCTTGCGTGTGGGTTACAGTCACCTTGCTGCTCTCTGCCATGTCATCAGAACTTCTTTCACTGCCGAAGGTACTTCTGATGGGACTGCGGAGGTCCGGGAAGAGCAGCATTCAGAAGGTTGTTTTTGAGGGCATGCAGCCGCATGATTCCGTCAATCTTCCAACGACGGTGCAGCCCGATAAGAGCCAAGTTCACTCCAACGACTTTGTGAACTTTGAGGTGTGGGATTTCCCTGGCCAGAGCGATCCCTTTGACCCCAACAACGCGGGTCCGTATGATGTGGAACAGTTACTTGACAATTGCGGGGCCATTGTTTTTGTGATGGACTGTCGCGAGTTGATTGAGGACTCCCGCGCGCGTCTAATCGATACGGTGTGCGCTGCCTACAGGTACAACCCTGAGCTTTCGGTTGAGGTCTTCATCCACAAGGTGGATGCTCTTAGTGAGGATCATCAGGCAGATCTTCTTGCCAGCCTGCAGCGTCACGTTGATTTGGAGGCAAAGCAGCGTCTCGAGAGCGCGGCACCGCTGCGTTTGAACTTCAACCTTACCTCCATTTATGATCATTCGGTTTTTCAGGCCTTCTCATTGGTGGTGCAAAAACTCATCAAACCACAGTCCCCATACATCACAGAGCTCCTGCAGATGCTGAATAGCAACAGTAACGTGGATCTTTCGTACTTGTTTCTTAGCCGGTCTAAAATTTTTTTGGCCTTGGATGAGCGGAGCCGTGCAAAGTTGCGAACTTACGGCCTCTGCAGCGACGCTATTGAGGTGATGATGAAGATGAGCCAAATCTACACTCCGAGCACGAAGGAAAGGCGGGAAAACTGTCATGGCATCTCCGCTACCAATATTACCAATAATGGTGTAGGAAATGGCCATCGCGTGGAGAGCGTTGAGGCAGCCGTTGCTGCGGGGGCAAATGCCATTATAAAAATCAGCAGTGAGGACTACATTTATGTTAAGGAGTTGCCCAACTCACTCACAGTGGTGTTGATGGCCAAGAAGGAATGCTTCCAAAGCAGAACACTTATCGACTACAATATTTTAGTCTTTTACAAGGCGGCATGCGATATTTTCAATGCCGTTCCCAGTCGGTCGTGAGGTGTTGCTGGTGTGAGACTCGTTTTCTCCATACGTGGGCAAAGTGTTCCTGGAGGAAAGGGGAGATTTTTCTCATACAAGGTGGTGGGCTCCTTCTGTGAGAGTACACGGCCCGTGGCAACGAATATTCATGTAAACCGGTACGCTTCTCCATTCCCTTTTTTTTTTATTATTAAACTTTTTTGTTGTGTAGCTTATTGCCGTGTCGAATTGGTACCGGATCAAAAAGAGGGAGGATATACAAGACAAAGCAGGAGTGAATTTACCATAAAAATAAAAAAGAAGAAACAACAACAAGAGTACTAAGAAAAAGACACAAGCACACAGCCACTTCCAGAAGACGAAAGAAGGCAAGCAAAAAAAATGGAGACCTATTTGCTATCCGTGTGTCCCTTTTCAACTTTTATGTGGGACGCCCCACATGCAGAGTTGGTGCCACCGGGATTTACCCCTGGATCTGTCGCAGACGCGATGCTGCACATCAGCGATCTGACACTTCGATTTGATCTGTTTGCCAAGGCCGTTGAATATTCGTTTCACCCCGTGCGTTACGCGATGGAGAACCATCCCATCCACACGAAGACGCTGCATAAGCGTCAGTTTGACGTCATACGCTACGGTATGGTGCTGGATGAAGTAGAGCGGCTCGTGATTGTGCCCATGCCACGTCTGTGTGCTGACAGTGGGGCAAAGGTTTCCCAGGAGTACGCTGCCATTTTTAATGGTGATTTTAACGACGCACCCTGCGCTTCTCACCCCATTTTGCCTGAATATTGTTTTGTTGTCTACCAGCTACCAAAAAGCGGCAATGAGGGGGGTGGAAGCATTCCCACCCCGCTATTCCGTATGGTTTTTCGAAATGAGGCCTTTAACGAGCAAATGAAGATGCATTTGGTGAAGGATTTTCCTCTTTTCCGTCTGCGCTCTGTGTACGTTTCGCATGCAGAGTTTTACGCCCTCCAACGGCAACTTGAGATTTACACAAAAGCGTCAGCCACCAGTGAAACTCTGCCTGATTCAGCATTGGAAGAAACGCTTGGAATTTCAAAGCTTCGTTGGATGTTTGATGCGTGGTTGATGGTATTGGAAGGTATTGCCCCTTCATGGCTTGTGGACAAGGGTGTCGGTCCAGATATTGTTACCTTGTTTCTTGCCTCGCATCGCCCTATAGGGAAATATGATGTAAAAGAAACTATTGAAGCATACACACAGCTTCCTATGGATAATCGTGTGCGGTGCTCTTATTATACGGCAGGTGAACGTATGCGGCAACGAGTTCATGTGATGCAACGATTTCCGGATATGATTAACAAGTGGCGACAAGGCGCGTATGATCTTCGCTTCTTTGGCGAAGAAATAACGGGAGCTGAACCAACTGTGCATGTGGCTCATTGCATTCGTATGCTATTATGCCGAAGGAAGCCGGGGAGAAATTATATTGAAGATGATGAAATCGCTGCCTTTGTGCCAGCGGACGATGAATGTAAGCCATTGCAGGTGTACAATACCCTGGCAGCCGAACGTTTGCGTCTCTGGGTATTGAAGGGGCTGCTCACCGCGGAACTGCACGGTGTCCACTGCTTGATGCTTGAATTCGATACAGCCATGGTACTCTCGATGTGCGTGGGACTTCTTTGGGGCAGCGGTGAGGAGGAGCGGCAGAGGGAATTTGTATTTCATGTATGTAAGATTATTGTGGAGACGGTGGAGGATTATGTGCAGCACAGCGGCATCATTTGGCGGGTGATTATTGTCACTTCCGACGAAAACTCGCTGAAGTCATCCATGCTTTGTCGTGAGATTCTTGAGGTGACGCAAATGGCAAAAACGCGCGTCGAGGTTGAGGAGCGACAGCGCATGGCTGCTGGTAAACGAGTGTCTTCCACACCCTCTGACACAGGCATAACTGCTCAAGAGGAGGTGGAGGGGGAAGAGGAGCACGGAGAGAATAAGGAGAAGGAAGCAAAGGAAGGCGCGGAAAAAACACTAACAGGACCCGCGGCCGCGACGAGAACGCTGACGTCAGCAGTGGTGGCCATGGCGAAGAGCGCCAGCTACAAACACGGTCCCTTCGAAGATGTCGCAAGGTTCTCGGAGAGTATTAGGGATCGTGCGGCGCGTTTTGGTGTGAGAATCTCTGACGCCGAGTTGTACCCCATCTTTCTTGCCCTCTCCGGTGGCGAGGATACGGTTCCCATAAGTGAAATTGTGCAACTTATTCTTGAAAAGGAGTTGGAGCTAAACGACGGTCGCCGCAGCAAACTTTGCAGGGAAACACGTTTGATTTGGCCCCACGATCACCCCATCTGTGCGTTGGATAGTTGTGGTGTTCCGTGTGACAAAACCACCGTATGGAACTTTGTCAAGAGCTTTCAACGACGTCCATACCGTGCCAATGTGGGAGACTACATGGCCACCATTGGTTTCACCCCCGGCAATGCACCGGAACCACCAGAGTCTCTCAACTACGTTGAATTTTCCGTACTGATGTTAGCCCTGGCACGGCAGTAGTGCCGGTTGCCTTTTTTTTTTTTTTTTTCCTTCCACGTCATTTGATGAACCATCTTTGGTCTACAGATGCGTACATGTAACTTTTATTTTTGCCCAACACTTGATAGTCTGAATATTTTTGGTTCTTGAAAAGAACACCAGAATGCCAAATGAGGCTTATGACCTTTTTTTTTTTCTCTAATTGCTCACGTTTTTATTTCTTTTTCCCTTCCATTTTATTGTTGGGTAAATGTTTTTTTTTTTTTTTCGGCTTCTTTTTTTTGCTGCTGGTATTAATTATATATTTGCTGCCGTTTGCCGATGAGGCTTCCTTCTCTGGAAGGAGACAACTTGCAGAAGCGACGCGTAGGAAGGAAATGTGCAATCGTTCCGGAGCAGGCAACGTCTGTATTATGTGGGGGTTCTCTCGTTTTCCTCATCTGCATTTGTACTGTAGAAGCCTGCAAGACTCCTGGTGTGAAATCTTTCAAAGACCGTCTGTTCTACAACATGATGAAGCCATCCCGTATTAGTCCTAACAAACAACTGAGCGACACAAGCACTGTCAGTGCGAACGTATCGAGAACCTGAACACCGCTGCCTTATTCTCTCTTTCCTTCCTTCTTTCCCTTGCTCTGTCTTGCTCTCTCTGTTTCTTCCTTTGAAAGAAACAAACGGGAACTCTCTGGATGCATTTTCCGGCTACTTATTTCTCCGGGTGCCACTCCTCATCTTTTCCCGAAGAGGTGCTCACGATTAACCGAACAGGAGGGTGCTTTGAACCTCCTTTCGCTCTCTTTCTCCATTTTTTATTTTATTTTTTTACTGTTTGGGCGGGAGAGTTTTTTTGCCATTCTCCACCCCATAATTGCCGTATCGATGCGGAGAATTTTGGAAAATACGGTGTTTTTTCGAATTGTGGACATGTCTTGCCTCTTCTCTTCACGCCAGTTCGCTGAAGATACAAGGATATTAAGAATTAAGCAGGGAGATAATGGCCACGGCAGCAGTTGAGCGGCCAACTACGGCAGAGGAGCGCGTTCTCGCCTTGAACAACCCGCCACCGCGGCCACAGAAAGCCCCGGATATTTCTCATCGCCAAAGGGCCGCTATCAACACCCGAGGTGCAGGCGTTGCAAGATCGTTAATGAGTGGACCAGTTGCCGCTGACATTCCGGACTCTCCGCCACCGGCTGCGGCCTCAAAAAAAATTGTCCATGCGAGTCCCTCTGACTTTCTCGCCGGCCCAAAGGAACCTGGTCATGTGAAGCGCGGAGTTCGCCGCTACGAAGACAGGAATGAGTCCACTGTCGGCAAGGCTCTCACAGAGGAGTGGATCCTCGGCCGCAAGGAGGACGATCCCGTGCCGCAGCACGTTGTGAGGCAACGCGGTCCTAAGGACAATCTCGAGGGTCTTTGTTGCAGCGTCAGGACGGAAGAGGCGAAGCCGCGGCTACAGCGGGCACCAGGACTGGCACCGCCGCACACCACTGCAGCTCCTTACAGCGAAACGGAGCTCCCGCCTCGACCCGCGGAAGCGGTGCCCGTAAAGGGAAAGCGGCGCTTCCATGAACAAACCAGCGTGAATCTCTTTGGACGTGCAGCCATATCAACCCGTCAAGCCGAGGCCGAC